CTTTTTAGCTCGATTGATCCATCCTCTCGTTTTTGTCCTAGCCTCATTTCTCTAAACTATACGGTGTAACGTACCAAATAAGTCTCTGCCGATGAATTATACCGCTAGTTATCTTTTAATTTTCTGCTTACCTTTTTTTCGTCCTCCTATAAAAGCCTACGGGCAAAAACATATCCCACTCTTAATCCCCTTAAGTCCTAGCGGTTTATGACCTCTACCTCTACTCCGTCAACTATCTACTATTTATATGATTATGTCTACCGACTCAACCTCTTGGACTACCGTATAGGGTTTCCTACAAAATAGTGATAGCCAAACTACCGATTATTTCTATCGAACTTAATAGAATAAGCTCTATCGAATCGCTTTAGGTCTTTCTGGCTATTTAAAGTGCGTGGCCTTGAACTAGGTTGCAAGTAGGCTTAACAATATTGTCCGTTTACTAGAATTCTCCGATAAGACCCGCTAGGCGGCCTAGGTCTATATTAGAAGGAAAACTTCCTCCCTTATAAGTAGCACTAAGCTTGAAAACGAAGTTACAATAATACAATTCATTAAGGAACATTCTAGCTTACTAGTGCCTCGAGTTTTCGCGTATAATTTCGACGAGAACAATTCGGTAAGCGCCGCTTTTATACTGATAGAGCTACTCCCTGGCAGCGTCGCTATAGACGCCCTAGGCGGCTACGAGGCCTATCGTAGTATGATACCTAAAGAGTACCGACAAAACTTCTACCGCTCTATCGCAAAGTGTTATATTAGTCACCCACGCCCGGCCTATAGGCTCGCCCCGCTTACTTTATATTATAGGTCTAATTGACTTCCTTATAACTCCTAAAAATTAGGACGATTGTCCGGAATCACGAGGGTGGATACGAGTATAGTCCCTTACTAGGAATCGGCGGTCCGTTCGACACAGCAACCGCATTCTTCGAGGCGTAGGCCGATAGCGTCAAATTTAAGTGGGATAAAGAAACAATCTCACGTATGATATAGAGAGGTCTAATCCTAGCGGAACGGATGGTGATGATTATCGAGAACTTCCCATCGCAGATTAAAGCGATAGCTAGCCGGCTGTCCTTATATAACGAAGGGCTATTCCCTCTGGCTCATAATGACTTTCTCTATAGTAATATCATAGTAAATGAGAATAACTTCGATGTCACCGGAATCATCGATTAGGAAGGTGTATATATAGTTCCCTATAAGCTCGTCACGTTCCCCGACTTTCTTGTAGCCATGCCCGCCTCCTTCGACCTACCTCAAAAATACGATCAGGATAGGCTGCTACTTGATAAGGAACTACGAGAAATATAGCGCGAGCGAGGAGAGTATATCGAAATAGTAAGATTAGCTGAGCTTTAAGATAGCCTACTCTCGGCTTGCCTTAGTAGTAAGAGGAACTAGGCTATAGCGTATTCTTATGGGGCGTATACTAGTATTAGAAAGCTTGGTTTCTATGATCGCGTTATAATAGAGTTAGAGACTAAGGAATAAAATTTCGGTAGCAAAAGAAACACTAAGTAGATCGTTGATTAAAGTGGATTGAATAGATAATTGATCGAAGTGGATTGTTAACCGAAGTGGGTGGCTGATCCATTCTATAGCCAATAGCAGTCAGTGTATAGCCGCTAGCCCTTTTCCGGTCGTGCTTATATACATATTCGTCATTGCAAAACCGCGTGCTGTAGGCCACGTCAGTAGGAAAACAAATTTAGAAGCTCTTAGACCAGGACTAGGTGGTTATGGCTCAAATATTTTTAACGTATATACTAGAATTCAAAGAACCCTAAACGCCAGCATATTAAAACGCCAAAGTATATTAGTGCCTTTTTGTGCCTAAGGCGTGAATCGACTCAAACTAAAGGGGTAAGTAAGCTGGTTAGTATATATAGACGCTTTCCGCCCTAACGGGCTACTTCCCCGCGCTAGATAGCGAACCCCTACTATATTGACTTCGATTTATATCATTCGATTATTTGCTAAATACTGATTTTAATAAGCGATAGAAGAAACAATCGCCGAGCTACGACGTTAACTTAAGAAGGAGAGATAGGCGCGAGATAAGGCAGAGCGGCGAGTATAACTAAACATACTATTTCGCCTTCTCGATCGCTGTTACAACTCTTTATCTTAAGCGCTCCGGGTTAAGACGAATACTACTCTTACAACCTAGGGTGACGCGACTGACCCTATCAACCGACTTTACCCTAAGCGTATTGTCCCTTGGCTTGATTTCCCCTAACTCTAAGAGCAAATCTAGAGGAAATTCGACCGTACCGATGCCTTTACTACGCGCCTACTATTCCCTTCTAATACCTAAATCGATTATATCGTTACGAATATCTAAAATAGGCCGATCTATTCGGAAGCGTCTCTTCGGAATTTTGAGCGAGATATAGTAAATAACTTTGTAGAAAAGGTTATTAAGGCGTTAGGAGATAATGAACCACTTCGATATGAGTTTGGAATCTAGGGCCGAGTTACCTTCTATGACCGCGCGAACCTATTAGAAACTTCGCTAGAGAATAGCTTAGAGCAAATGAATCTTCAGAACGCGCGGACACCCTAATAACCAGCGAACACTAGGCATAGAAGAGGTAGACGAAGGGAGATAGGAGCGGACGGTACTATACGAAGACGTAATCGGCGCGCCGACTAGTTCTACGTGTATCTTATGGCTAATAAACGATAAATACCGGTGTATGTAGTAGAGTTCAAAGCACTGTATAAGGTGATAATTCCCGAATTAGTGGCGGGTCTATACTAGATAGATCTAGCTCGCGATATTATTGACTAGGAAGGCGATACGTTTGAGTTTTATACCACCTACCTCGTCGCCGCTATAGTCACTTAGATATTCTTATATATAATCGATAATAGGCTTTAATACGGCTATATCTATATAGGGGAGGCTTTTGTTTTTCTCTATATCCCGAAGTATAATCCTATAGTTATTTAATATTTTATGTGTATCCCGAATCAGGACGTATAGGCGGACGATAAATAGCGCCTCTATCGGACCGCTATCGGCTAGGTGCTTATATTTACCCTTTAAGCGCTAGCCGCCGAACCTCTATCTTAAGAGTAGTATAATATGGTATACGATAAGCTAAAGACCTAGGAGATCGAATACCTAGATATATTAAGAAAAATCCCCGAGACTCTCCGTAAAGACTCGTAAGCCTCTAATTATCGACCCTCGTACTAGAAATTAGAACCGAAGACATATAATATACGATCCCGTGCTCGCTATAAACTAGGTATATCTACTCCGAAGTATTCGTCGACCGAAGGTAGTGGTAGTGATAAAGAATTATATTCGCTATCTATTACAGTAGCGGCTTGTAGTAGGTCGAGCCGCGGCCGAGGCAACAACCGCTAATCGACTAAGGAAAGCGAAAGGACACGAGCCGGCTAAGGTAACAAAGAGACTTCTCGAAAAGACGAGTATTTTATACGGCCATACTATACTATTGGCTATATCCGCGGTACGATCAATCGAGACCCTCTAGATAAGAATTGCCCTAACTAGAAACTCTACGGTGGCTAGAGACACTCTATAGGGCTATAGGAGTTTATACGCCGGCTTTACCGTTAACTTACCCGAAACCGAAACTATAGGTTTAAATAACTTCATATCTGTGGTCGGACGGGTTACCTCGTCAAAGCTACTCTTCTATCATACGGATACACTATGGTCATTAAAGCTACTATAATAGAGAAGTAGTATTGCCTTTAAGCGGAGGCGAACAATTATCGTCACCTTAGGAGCTTGTAAGGAAATCAGATCCCCGTCTATCTTAGATCATTTCAGCCATAGGTCGCGTATTGGTACCATAGTGAATTAATTGCCTAGATGATAGTCTTAAGCTAGTTAGGAACGCGACTTCAGTATATAATCAATGATAAGAATTCCAGTTTCTTCGATCAGGAGCGTAAGAAAGCTCTGACCGTGCTCCGGTCACACGGAGTTGTCTACAATGATAGTAAGTAGCGCAATATATTGTAGGATAACCTTAGTGGCTAGTTAATTGTTATTGACTTAGAGGATATGAAATGGTTGAAGCGCCGTCGGATGCTTGAATCAACTTCTGGCAATATCTAGCGTGGTTATCGCGTCGGCGCGGGGAAAGCAAGCAAAAGCTCTTGTCTAGCTTGATAGTTGCCTATATATAACGACCGTCATCCTACAAACCACCGCGCTAGTCGACTCGGTTAACGACCGTACTGTTAGATCATAGGACGGGAGAAATTATATTTACATTCTTGGCTTAGCTATCGTATAATATAAGATCATCTTAAGAAGGTCGGGTGTTTATTATGACAATAAATTATAACGAACACCTGGACGAAGAAATTATTCGGTGTTCAATATGATAAGTATACGAGCTTCGGGAGCTATATCAGCGTCCGGTAATATGGGATATCGAACTGATTTGGGCTATAGATTGGCGGCTAAGAATCGGATGGGATGCCTTTATAATATTTAAGGTTTTGTAAAAAGGGTAGTCAAAAGACGGTTATGACTTCTAAGGGAAGCAATCGGACGCTCTATAAACGCATCTACTTTATCCAAGAGTATTATAGCACTATATCAGATTATTTCGCGATCTTGAATATGCGCTTGAGCCTTATCCAATACATTAGGGTCTCCGTGGTCAATATTAGTTGCCTACTGGTTAATACGGGATATAGGTTAATAAATGTATTCAAATTAAGGAGTGAAAATATAAGAAACAACTGAAAGAGTGGGGGCCTAAGATCGATGGTCCAAAAAAAAGACCGGTAGGCCAGCAAAGTACCTAAAGGGCGAGAAAGTAACCAGGAAAATAGTAAACGCCTAAAACATTAAACCAACATCCAATTGGCTATCGTCGCGGTGTTATACCCCTTTGCCTCCCTATTACGCGGGTGCCCTCTGTTACTAGTTCTTAACGTCCTTCTTGTGCCCAGGAGCCCTCTCTCTTCAGTTAGCTCCTAGCCTTTGTTTTCGCTACCTAGTTTTTAATACTAGTAACAACGCTAAAAGGCGAGTTCTTTTGCTCTAATAGGAACGACAAAACTTTAGCGGGACTGAAAATTTGGTCTAGTACCTTAGAAGCAAAGTTGTTAGCAAGTCTCTCAATCGCCTTATTACTAAATTTATACTTTGACTCCTTATAGTCTGCCGTCTGCTTATAGACCGTATGAAATAGTTGAGTAGAAATCTTCTTATCGGCAAGCTAGAAATACACTTTCTTATCTACGCGGCTAGGCCGAATGAGTGCTTCATCTAGATGTTCGATATGATTAGTCGTTATAACAAGCACCCGACCTTCTTAAGACGACATACCATTAAGAACATTTAGAAGACCGGATAGGGTGACTCTAGAGGTTGACTTATCCTCTTAGTCTATATCGGAGTCGTCCTTACGCCCTATCCCAGCGGCGTCCACGTCCTCTAGGAGAACGATACAGTGCGGCGGAAGCTTAGAAAATAGCTTTATCAACTTGCTATCAGAAATCCCTAATAGTTGAAGCGTATAAATATCTAGTTCAAATTCCCTAGCCAGGGATAGACTAAAGCTAGATTTTCCGGTTCTAGGAGGTCCATATAAAAGGTATCCTCGTTAGTAGGGGATACCGCGGTCGGCGTACCACTTCTATATATCTTTATTTAGGAAGTCCTTCATATCTCTTAGAAGGCCATCTTATACTTCCTTATCTATAATGACCGTTGAGACGGGTCGAACTAGTCTTAACCTAGTTTTCTTCTAGTCCCCTTCGCGGTGCTTAAAGATAGTGATCTTTTTATCAATATTATTAAGGTAATTTTCTCGGTACTCTTTAATAAGCTGTTTAAGAATGTTTAGATAAAGGCTAATGGAGGAGATATAGATGTCTTCTCGATGGTCTTTAACAGCATAGTAAAGTATAAGCAAGTGTCCCTTATACCAAAAAGGAAAAGATCTATCCTAAGGCGAAAATGTTAAAGGCTTTTTCTTTTCTTGACTTTGGATGGTAGTTCGCTATAGAGATCTTATACGAGCAATTATTAAGTGAGCGTTGCGGACAAACGGTTGGTAAGCTATCTAGTCGACTAGCATGTCATACGCTTCGTTATAATATAAGATATAGATTGTCGAAGCTACTAGCTGTTAGACTCATCCTATCATAAGGGAAGAATTACGAACTAAAGTAGCTTCTTACTAGCTCCCTAATATAGCGGACTATATAGCGAATGAAGAGGACAAGCATTCCTAGCGTACAAAGGAGTCGAGTATAGCTGTCCAGGTTACCGGCAAGCAGCTACTATATAGAGGCAGAGGCTATACTGAAACCCGGAAAAAGAATATCTATAAGGGACATCTAGGAAGGGCTGTGGTATGAACTATCTCCGCTTATAGCGTTCATTACGTATAAGAGAATCGAAGGATATGATATTCGTAGTTAAGATAAAATAAGAAAGGCTTATAACCACTCTTATTTATATCTTTATCCCTACTTCTTTTTAAGTCGCATCGCTTACCTGAGGACGAAGGTACGAGAGCTGAGCTGCATTAGTTAATATATATAGTATAGCGTCATATAGGTATCCCACGGAAATTCTACCTAAATCCTACTAGAATTCCGTTCGAACTACTAAGTAAATTCTATAACTATAATATTCAAATAGGGAGAAAGATAAGATAATATTTCTCAAACAACACCGTTTAAGGATGACTTTCTTCTTAGCCGTTCTATACCCTTTAAGACCATTTTATTCGAGTGGAGAAGTACAATTTGACAAGTTAACAATACCCAAAGTCACGTGCCTAAGGAGCTTATGATTTAGACGAACCGAGGGAGATACCTAACCTTTGCCCCCACCTAACACAAGGCCACTAAAAATAATAATCACTCCTTATTTTTATCTATATCTATCGAAGGCCACTACTACTACAAAGTAGCTACGACGTCTCTATATTCTATACTATAACTAAGCGATTTCCAACCAAGTATTTTCCCTTTTAAGGTTGGATAAGCCTATCGTAACCCTACTCGCTACCCGAGGCAGGATACTGCGGCATACTACGCAAGATAAAGGTCTCGAAATCTGCGATAGAAGAGGAAATTTTAGATGAATTTAAGAAATAGGCAAGCTATACATTCGCCATACAGCTGGTTTAGGTCAATAATTAACGTCTATAGGTCGGTCACGATAGTTGCAAACTTATCTACGGCCCAACGGTTGAAGTTGTCTTTCAAACTTCGCCTCCTACCGATACTATTATAGTTGTTATTGATATATTATCTACTAGCGGTACGATCAAGATTGGAGAAGCTTCAAATAACAATCTTAGGGTTACTGCGGTCGGCATGGTAGGAACCGAGGATATAGATAGTTTGGTTATCGTGCTATAAAAGAGCGGATAGTGGTATTATACAATCGGTATTATTACCGTACAATATATCGTGAAAGTATAATAAGAAAGTGTATATTACTTATTCATATCACTTGCCGGCGCTGAGCTCCGAAAAAAAGACACGCTTCGTATATGATCGATATAGTGATGAATGGGAGGGAGGCGGTATCGTATGGTTCTATTATCCAAATACTCGAGGCCATATATTCGGATATCACAATAGCATGAGCATCCTTATATAAAAGCGCAAATACTCTCCCAGAAAGAGCACCTGACAATGTTAGTCCTTTCGTCAAGGAACTACGAGGAATTCGTTATACTTGGTTTTGATTTATTTGGCCTTACTAAGGCGGCATCGGATTATAAAGCTTCAACCTCGGAGACGGGAGTCTCTATAACGTTACTAGGGGATAGATCTAGGTAGGAAATTAGCGATAGAGTAGAGTAAGCTTGGGGCTGATAGTGAAACAACTGTGTGCCTTTAGCTGATTGCTCGTTATACTCGGATATTCGGTCAGCTGAAGATTCAGTTATTACCCTTAACGTATTATCAAAGGCTCTAATACTAACCATTGTAGTAATCAGTCCGAACGAGTCCTTTAATAAATAGGGACTTGAATTTGTCCCTATACTTTGCTACTTTACCTAGGAGGCGGAGCCGGTAGGCTTCCTTTATATTTCCAACCGCCGTCTAACCTAGCCTAAGGGCGCATAGAATTACCACTTCTAGCCTATAGCGAGTTCGGAGTTCCTTTAAAAGTTTTCGGTATTCCTCTTGTCTTTGTTCTGCCTTAGTGTGGGGGACTTTTCTAGGCTCATTAGCCAAATAAAAGGTAGTCTCAATACGTATGTTTTGGTACGGCTTGACAGATCTCCTAAGCTCAATCATCTTAGCCGCTTCGAATAGCTTAGATAATGCTTCGGGGATTGTAAGAGAGGAATAATCATAGTGTCTAGTAGATCTATTCATTTTCTTTCCTAAGGATCGCTCGTATAATATCTTCGAAGCCGGGATAAATGGTAGGAAATATAAGAAAATTTCATTAAAATTAGGTTGGGATTTAGCTAGGAATTATACGGACCATCGATATTAATAGAAGATATGTGGTCTTTACATAATACGCCTTTTTTATACGTGGACATATACGAAGCTACGTATTAAACCACATGATAGTATATTAATTTCATTAGGTTGTCTTACTCTTAGAAGGCGCTAACTTATACACACTACTAAAAGCGGTAAGAGCTATAGGAGCGAGTGATATGATAAAGCATGCATATATATATGTTGGCTTTAGATGTGGCGAATAGAATAGGAGTCTAGTGGAAATCCAGTGGTATTTGTGTGGTATTTGTCAGTCGAGCGGCATGATCTCGACTAGCCCATTCTAAATTCTGAGCCCTTAGCTATCGCTTCCGTACCCAAGGTAGGCTTCGTGTATATTGATCATCACTTTTAAGAGAAATACTTTGCATCCTTAGTATTATTATCAATTCTAGATCCCCGCTTTTCACGCGAGTAAGACCCTTACGTTCCTAGGACCATATCTAGCCCTAGAAGAATCCATAGTGTATTTACTAGGCATAGTCTTGGTCGTTCCTAGGAATCAGGATCATAGTTCCTAGAGGACCTACGGCTCCTAGGAATGATATAGCTACGGGGAACGAGGTGGGTTCCTAAGCCTCGGTGCCGGTGGACATAGTGGGTCACCCTAGCGAATAATTGACAAAAGATACTTAATTCGCCCGAACCTCCCTAGTGATATCATATAGTATTTGGTGTAAACCTACTAAATATCCACTGGTATTTCGCAATATTTCTCAAACTCAACTGCTAACTATCAAAACACCACTAAGTAAGGTTATTCGACGAATCGAATATCGATCAAGGTTAATATATTTCATATATAGTAGAAGAGAAAAATAAGTAGAAGATAGATAGGAAATATATGTTTTGTGCCACTGTCTTTATTTAAATGATAGCTAGAGCCATAGTCTATAGTCAAAGATCTTCGTGAGCTTGAAACCGAAAGAATGGACTTTAGCCTGATATTCCAACTAGTCGCATCAATAATAGCAATGCTTTGCTCCGGCTTAAGTCTTATATTCTGGCTCCTATATACCAATACTTTAAACCAGATAGAGTAGAGCAAAAACCGACTCATCTATAGCCAGATTATAATAGGTGGCATTATTATTCTTAGCTTAATTGCATCCATAATACTCGTATTTGTAACGACGACCTCTGATAATAGTATATAGATTAATTTGTTTGGCCATATATAACTATACTAATCCAATGTTAGATCTGTCGCGTTCGATATCTCCTATAGAAATCGGCTTTGTTTTACTTTTACTCGTTTTGAATGAAGTAAGTATAGCGAGTAAGAGCTAGGGCGATACTAATACTTTTTATAGTATCTATATATTTCAACTTTGTAGTCATATTTGACTTATATAATTGCCGGCTTATTTTTTACCAGTATAATGGTTATTCTGTCTTTGACCATTTATTAATCGGCAAGTTGAATTGGTTGCTACCTGAGATATTTCTCGTTAATAGATCATTTCAGTAGCATCGCAATATTTTGCTTACGTTATTCACGTCTATAGTTCTCGCTAGTCAAGGCTTTCTTTATGCTCAATTCATTCGATATTAGTATATATGTATGAAACCTATGTCTATAGCAACCACTACGTTCAATTTATTTTAGCGACATCTAGTCCCTATAGCTCCCAAACACCATAAAGCTCTCTAGATAGTATCAATTGGGTCAATTGTGTTCTCCCTTTATTCCCTAGGCATAGTAATTATCGTGTATATAAGACCATGCCTGTGGGTCTAATTCACGACGGTATATACCTTGACCAGAACAATATCTCAGTCACTGATTTGCTTTATAGCTCTAAGTTGCCATACTAAGCCTACGGAAGGTTGTGATTTCGACATATATTTTCTGAGTTTAAAGAAGGATGTTTATATAACTATTTTTATACCTCATAGATAGAGCTCGATAAGTCAATCTATTTTCGCAAAAATAATTCTTTATACGGAACGATTCATTATACTTGAAGAAGATTGTTATATCATTTTTTTTACCAGTGGAACGAATATATAAAGCCAGCCTGCTTGCCAAGACCATATCTCCACTCATCCTATATGCTTTATATATACGTATCGCTGATAAGCGTGGACCTAAGATTGCCAAATCAAACAGGGGAATAGCGGTCCACCGTTTGCCTGCGCCGAGGTAGACTATATCGCGGTCTTGACATACCTTCTTCGGTGCCTTTGCTCTTGCCACCCGCGGCTTAAACTGCCTCGTAAGGTACGCCTCTATATAAAGATTCGCTCCTTACGTTAGAACTCCGCCTAGAATGCCTAGAATTTCTAGCCTTACAGCCCTTAAGGCGTATATAATAGCGCACTTAGAGGGAGCCTTTCGACCTTCTAGGAAAATACTCTACGATTCGCTTCTATAGCAAGCTCCGCTCTTCCTTTAACTCAATTAAAAGTTGGTCGTCCTTAGAGAGGGGTCGGGTAGGCCCGGTCGTCTTCCTAGTACGGGACCCTTATACCGTAGGTAAGCCTTTCCTAGTAGGGGTAGATTATATATCAACTAGTTAGGTGTTTGAGCTTGGATAGTCGTAGGAGATATCCACGTATTGACTCGGAATAGATCTTAATCCCGAGGTAGTATCTATGTTAGAACGCGTAGAAACGTAGTGTGATAGAGCACCCTCAAACAGCTAAGAGAGGAACTGTAGCCGGTCTTCAACCGAAAGGGCCGAGAATTAGGCACGAACGGTAGGAAATGAACCGTTTTTTCTACGACGGGGCCCTCTAGTGGACTGAGAGGAACGATTGTTTGCTATTCTCTTCCCTATAGGTGGAAATTTCTGTACTTTAGAGGACTAGCGATCATGATCTACCGTCTCCTTTGTATTATGTCCCCTGTACTAGAAAGACGGGTCTCGATTCGGGAAGCGAGAGCAATTCGAGGGACATTCGTCTAGATGTGTTGCGATACTAGTGATATTATCCGTTGCTTATATATACTTAGAATTAGGGTAGTTATGATCGCTTAGGATTATAGGATCGATGGCTTTATTACCTAGAAGGTCTCTAGTCCGGATGTGATTGCTAGAAGCGAGGGCTTAAGCGTACTAGCCAACAATAACGCTAGGGTCCAAGTCGGACGATTTAAAACCGGGGGATCGATAACCAGCACCCAGACAACCATTATCGGGTATTAGAGTAGAATCGATATCTTCGGTGCTCGGTAGGTCTTATAACTATAAAACGTCTTTAGAGTCGAAGGTCTCGGCGTAAGGACTGGTCAAGGTAGTAAAGCTTAAATTCTCTAACTTGTATCGAGTGGGTTATACGTTAGAATATAGGCTATTATCTATACAAACCTCTAACGGCGGGCGGGTAGGAAGAGGATGCCGTCTAGGTTCGTAGGTATAAAAATTTTGACTCTTAGAGACGGGGTCGATAGGATTAGAGGGAGGTAGGGTAGGAGTTATCGAGATAGGACTTAGGTAGCGGTAAATATCGAGAGAATCTCGTAGAGGCTAGGCTTTGTCCTAGAAAGGATTCTATAGCCGAAAGGATTCTAGGCGAAAACTAGCGTTTGATATATTGTATAAAAAAGACGGCTAAGATATTCTTTAAGATATTGTGGTTATAGGTAGTTATAAAATAGGGAAACTAGTAGAGAACAGATAATTAGGGATAGGGGGTAGGGAATAGGGTATAGGGGAGAGGAGAATTTGAAGGGGTTTTAGATTTTAGTTCTGCTATTTGGCTAGAATTACAGTCTCTTTATAGACGACGGTCGTCCGTGAGGTAGAATCTACCTTATACCTAGCGTAGAAGATCCTAACTAGCTCCTACAATCTAGGCAACTATATCTAAGAGGCGGGACAACACTAGTTTCCTAACCACGGGTTGTAGTTTACCGGCAACAATTACTACTACTCTTCCTTACGGACGACCTTTGCGATATATGCCCTATACTAGTCGTTAGCCCGTTCTCTATATGGTAGGTGAAGGTATGATCGGGGTACGGTTTCCGTAGTCGCGGTTAGGTATTAGCCGTATAATATATCGTCGACCGAGGTTAGGCGCGTACGAGGCATTTTCGCTATTAGCCTATATTCGCTGTACTATGCTTTCGAGAATTTATCGATTAGGTACGGGGAGACCGGAGAGACCGATAATAACGATAACCGGGCGCCACGGGATTCGCGACGAGGCAACTAGAGTTCTACAACATTAGGGGCTATGTAAATATAACCTCAGACGGGGCGGATGCGGATAAAGCGGGGTATATAGCATCGAAGATAGTATACCGGAAATTTGTAGATGCGATAGAGGCCGGTAGAATGAGTGACACTCAACGAATAAGGGGCTCTAGTAGAGAAGGCGACCTAGATAGCTTCGTAGTACGATGCACTATCACTTCCCTAGGAAAAGAGTAGGAGGGAGTATCGACACGAGGCCGAACGATGCGGCTGCGGGCTAGATCATCTTATCCTAGGGGTTCTGCTCTTAGGCGACTGGATGGTATAGTAGCTAGGCCGGCCAGAACGAGCTGAGTATCGGATCGAGCGGCATCTCCGGTAAAATGAAAGGGGTAGTGCGTCGGGCTGAAAGCCAATGCGTAGGCGACGGTGGGGGCGAGAAAGAAAGGGGGAAAGGGAATAGGGAAGGAAAGAGAAGGGAAAGTACGTCGATAAGTTGAGGGGAGAGGGCGAGCGGTGTTATATAGATAGATGGTAGATAGCCGGGGCGGTAAAAGCGGCTAGGGACGGGGCTAAACCAAAACGGAGGGAGAGTGAGGGCGCCAAACCCGAAGGGGCAGGGAGATGGTGGAGACGGGCAGGCGGTCGAGGGCGGTAGGAGGGCGGTGTAATAGGAGCGGATTCTGGCGCCCCGCTCACCGTGTCAACTAATACTAATCCCTTTATAACTCTTTATAGAAATTTCGATAGATTTTATAATAGGCCTACTACTAGTAATATTCGAGGATAGATTAATCGATGGGATTCTTATTATTATTAATAGATTTATAAAATAGTTATTATTCCTCTCTATTTTATTAACGATTATTACTAAAGACCTCGATAAACTATTCTATAATTATATTAAACTATATTTTAGACCCCCTAAAGGTATTATATCCGATTATAGATCTCTATTTATAAATAAGTTCTAGTTAAAACTATACTAACGTATTTCACTACCGAGCGGCGCATACCACCGAGTGGCGCACCCCATCTAACCCATTAAATTTAAATGCATTTATCTCAACCATAACGCCATTAAATTAATTCAACTAACTAAGTGGTCTATCTGGATATGTTTCTCTTCTATGCCCTAGTATTCTATATATCCCATACCCTCGCTAGCCCCGTATACGTGGCTGAATAGTAGATTCTCTAGGTATACCGGGGCCGGGGGGAGGTGCTTTAGTTACTTCCTATTGCTATATAATTAATATAGATACTTCTTAAACTAAGAGGCCTTCTTCTACGGGTATCTACCTCCGGGATCTAGTACGCTTTTGCTTCTACTTCTCGTTAGCGGCCCGTAATTCCTTGTTTTCTTTAGCGAGTAAGATAGTACCTTATATTATAAGACGGAAGCCTTTTATAAGCTAGTTTAATATACGATCTAACGGGCTAGGCGGGCTTCGAGATCTTATACGAAGTAAAGCTTTAATTAATAAAGCTTATCGACGTAGGTCTTTCTCCGTAAAAGGGGTTTTTAGGGTAAAATTCCGGCTTAATTTACTACCCTAGCTAGTAGGGGGGGTCGGGGTTCGAAGCCGGATATTAAGCTTTAAAATCACTCGGTCGGGTCTAAATAGTACTAAACCGGTAGCTAAGAAGCTATTCTTAATTATCTCCGATTTAAAAGCTTTAATTCGTACGAGAGGGTATACTTCGAGGAAGTTAAGTTTGTTAATATAGTTAATCCCGTTCTATATCTTAGTTTTAACTATCTAACTATACGATTGTTTTAATACCGTAAAATAACCTATATTAAGAGGTTATAAAAGATAAGATAAATACGCTAGTATATAGATTAGTATTACCTTATTTTACTTATAAATTTCGTTAAATTAAGGTATTAAATAACTTCCGTAGCTATCGAGTATTAAAAGCCGATACCCCCCCTTTATATATAAAGAAGTACTAGGAATAAAGAGCTTCTTAAGCTAACGAAGCCCAATTTTATCGGAGGTCTAGCCGTTAGGACTAACTTCGAAGCGCTAATCCTTTAGAAGGCTATCGAACTATAATTTAATAAAGACTTTACTATTAAAAATTATATATAGAGGAAGGGCCTAGCTAGAAGTATTCGTATACTTAATAATAATTACCTACTCTCGATTTCTAGGTTATAAAACTAGCCTCCGACTATAGTATTGTTATGATATAATCAGACGTGAGGCCATTCCCAGATTGGTGCCTCAGGCTTATAGGAGGTTTGACCTCTCCGGAGGGGGATCGCCCATGTTTCTATACCCTTCCGAGAAGGGTTCCCCGCGGGAACGAGACCCCGCTCCACGTATCACATTTCCTCCCGCTATCAATATAGGGAGACTATATATAAATTGGACCATATAAAGGAAGCCTGACGGCTCTTCAAGAAACAGTCTTTGACTTCTGGGAACCACCTATCTTGTTACCTTCTCCTACCTGATTGACAGGCACCTACCCTGACTTGTAGAGTATCTTTTAACAATAAGGCTTTCTATTAGTATTTCTAGGATAGTTTAATCTATTCTAGAAAGTATATCTATCGTTCTTAGATTACTATTAGCTTTAAGGATTAGGTTCTATATCTCTATAGGCCCTATATTATTAATCATAAGATACTTAGGGTCCTAGGACTTCTTTATTCCTATAACTATAGTTTCTAATCTTAGTAGGTCTTATAACCGCTAACTAATATCCTCCTTAGCCGTAAGTCCTATTAGGTCTTAGATTAGTATTTAGGGTATATACTATATCTACCCTTAACTTTCTACTATATCCTAGTCGATTTCTAGATAATCGAGTTCTAGCTTATCGGCTAACCTTTTAATATATAGGTTACCCGCTATTATCTCTTCTAGGCTTAGGTTAATCTATCTTATTAAAAGATCTTCTAAGAGTTTATCTCTTAGGTCTATAACGACTCGCCTTTTTTATCTAAGTATTACGGACCTATCCGTCACCAATCAGTAGTGACCCACAGGCATACCAATAGGCTATCGAGAGCTAACAGATCGAAATCACGTATAACGCATCTAGTAGAAAAGGGTTTTGCTAGATAGTAGCTATTACCGGCCCTCGCGGGGTAAATAGCAATTCTACCTTATAACAATACCGATCACCCGTGACCGCCTAGAGCACGTGACTATATAGGTAGTAGAATGGTCGATAGTAGGATAGTAGAACGGTTCTACTATTCTACTATCTACTATTCTATATAGGAAGAACTTAGGGATATATAAGGATACTTATTTATATATCTAGTTTAGTTCTTCGTCTTTAATTATATATTGTTACTTATATTTATCTTTTAGATTACTATAACTCTTTACTTAATTATAACTTGATAATACTTATAAGTAGACTAATACTCCGGTATAGATCTACTCGGCGCTCTACCTAGTATTAGTTCCTTAATCGCTTAAAAGGACTTAGGCTACTATAAGGCCCTACGCGGTATTAGCTTAGTTAAGACCCGATTATTAACGATTAGACTATTCGAGGAGTATCTAGGTAAATATACCCTAAACCTATCTAACCTAACTATAACTAGTTAGCTAGTACGTAATATATTAAAGACTATCTCGAATTAAGTTTCGAGTTACGATAAGTAATATATCTTACGCTAGTACTAGGAAGAAGCCTATTTAGGAGTAAGTTACTCTACCTATAGAGGATCCCGACTCTAATATCGAAAGAAACAATACTATTATAGAATAGAAGCGAAAGATTAGCGAACTTAAGTATAACCTTAAGAAGGTTATAGATTAGCTTAGTAACTTAGGTAAGTAAAGCGGTACTAAGTTTAACGAGGTCGACGATTACCTCGAGTAGATTAAGGCTTAAGTTAACGTATCTATACCTATTAGTACTATTTAGGTACTATAACTATCTAAGGCTAAGTTCTTTAAAGGAAACTAAATTAAACTTCGAGGATTCCTTACTTAGATAGATATATACCTCGATATAAATAGCGTTAAGATATCTAACGAAGCCGGTAAGGTAATTTTTATATTAACTTATTTACGCGGCTAGGCCTAGGATTAGTTCGAATCTTATATCTATAACTATTATAAAAAGAAACCTAAAGAATAGTCGGATACTATAGTAAATATCTTTAACGAGTATCGTAATTTCTGTTAATACCTCGAAAATACGTTTAGAGATATCGATACTATAAGAATAGCCTAGAAAAAATTATAACGAATCCGATAAACCGGAACTATATTAAGCTATATCTCTAAGTTCTTATAAATTATCTCTTACTTAGATTAGCTAGATAGAGTATACCTTCCTTACTTCGAAGCTAGAATAAAATCCGACGTTAAGGATAAACTTACGCGAATAGATTAGCTAGAAGAGCTTAATTAACTTATTAAGATTATAGTTAAGATCGATAACTATAATAACGAGCGAAGAAGAGAACGATACGAAATAGAACTATAGAAGCGTAGAAAGATATATAGCTTTAACCGATTCGGTAGACGCTACGATAGAGCGATACTATAGGATAACAATCTATATAACCTAAAGCTAATAGAGTTAGACGCTACTTATAACGAGTAAAAGGAGCGTTATAATAAGAATCTTTACTTTACCTATAAAAAACTAGGATATTACGCGAAAGAATATAAATAGAAGAAACCGTATAAAAAACGATAATATATATAGGCGATACGCGAAGTACTACGAGCGACCTAAGAGGGAAAGGCTACTACTAGTATAAGTACTAACGCCGAAGGAATAAGCGCTAGTTAAGAATACTAGGAGGAAATATACCCTAACGAGTAATAGGGCGACCTAGAAGGGTAGGTCGGGACCTTTATCGATAGCCTTAGAAGTAGTAGGCGAGTCGCTATAGACCTAAGAGACGA